ATGCTAATTTAAGGCAAAATCGAAGGTTCTCGTAGACCCGGACGTCCAAAAGCAAGATGGATGGACAGGATTAAAGCCTTGACGGGACACCCCCGATCAGAGGTAAACAAGCTTGTACAAGACCGGAACCAGCTGGGATATGACTCTGGGGTAAAAGACAGGTTTTTTGTTCCCCTGTGATACACATGAGGAGATGCTTTGTACTTTTGTTGTTTGTGAATTCAAGTAAGTCTTTATTTCTTAGAGAACTAAAAACTTTAAAATTACACCAGAAAAATTAATGCAGTTACACATTACAAACTAAAAACTTACTTTGTTGTGATGAGAATATCTGGCATTGATGGAACAGAGACCATGGATATCACACAGGAGGTGACGGGCAAGGCAACACCAATTAAAGTCATGCTTCTGATAAAAACAAAACAAGATGAGTTTAGTAAAGCTGGTCCCAGAGCACCGAAAATTCTATACAAGTTGATACAGAACGCCTGTTCAATGAAAGTCTTTTCAAGCATCTGGTCTACAAAGTGGACCGGATTTAGCCCACTCATTGAGTCACTGGTTAATCTGGTACGATGCATCTACATCTACATCTACGCCTGTACTCAGCAGAGTTCACTTTTGACTGTTAACGCTGAGGTGAAGCTTAATTAGGTGCATGTGAAGCAGGGGGAAGCTTGTGCAAAAGACAAGTTAAGTGGGCGAAACAACTCCAATCTTGGAGCTAGCGGGCAGAGATGTGTGCCTTAAAGACGTCCACAGACGGAGCTAGTGATGACGTCTACAAGATGGGCATTCTGAGAGTCAGACTGCTGTAGGCAGGAATAAGAAATTGTAGATGTCCTTAGAGATGAATGGGTTGTGAGAAGTTGGTATCTTGCCGGATGGTAGTTTCTTGGTCTGGTATCTGTCATCTTTGCTCATTGCAGTGAGGTTGTGTGATATCTTGTACAGCATGTTTTTGATGGGTGCTTCCCGTCTTGATTGAAGTGAAGCCCACTGCAGATTCAGCAGCATTGCATTCACACTTCAGTACGTTAGTAGATGTTCTGCACAAATCTAGTTGCTCTATTCTGAATGGCTTCAACCTGGTTGATAGTGTAGTTTGGTGTTGGGGATTTCAAACAGTGGTGCAATATTCTAGATGTAGCCTGACCAGAGAAATGTTAGCTTGGTGTTTCAACCGTGGGTTGCAATGCTTCATATTCCTTTTAATATACCCTAGGACCCGGTTGGCTTTCAAGGTGATGTTTGATATGTGCGTCTTCCATGAGAACTTGGATGTGAAAGTTGTGGATGTGAAAGGTGTGGATATTCGTTTAACTGACGTCCTATTGTGTCATCACCAAGGTGATAGTCAAAGCCTACATAATTATGTTGTTTATGCGTTGGGAGACTTGCATCACATGGCAATTGTCTGAATTGAACTTCTTCTGCCACTTGGTTGTCCAGGAGCGCAGCGTATTAAGATCTTCCAGAAGAGCTCTGCAGTCATCTACGGTCTTTATAGACCAGTACATGAAATCATCGGCGAATAGGCGCGAAGACGATGTGACGGAGTCTGATATGTCGTTGATGAATGTTGGGAATAGCAGTTACCCTATACATGTATAGAACCGTGCCTTGGGGCACTTCAGAAAGAATATGACGCCGAGTCCGGTCAATTTACAACAAAACAGCTTTGACCTAGAAGTAATTGCAAAATAATTTATTTTAACACTATCACACGAAGGAAAAATCACGTTAACATACCCCCAAAAAATTCCCTACTTTTATCCAGGGAGTGGAAAGGTTGTTTTACTTGCCTTTTCTTGACTGATTTTTTGTAACGGTTCACACGTAAACTGTCCTTTGCACTGTGACAATGTTTCATGATCAGCGTCTGTTGCCCGTCAGCATATCCGTTCACATCACACTGGAAACGTCGGGAAACACGACTGATCAAAACAGAAGGCTTTTTCCTGTCAACCTATTTACCGAAATCGTTCTGATTTTTACCTTGCCGGGAAGTTGCCGCGCCAAAATTTAGGGTAGAGGGGGTTTCTTAAGAATAATTTGGATTTCATTTTACTACCTTAATTATTATCCACCAATTTATTGAACAGTATTGCAGCACAGTAAATCTTTCGTTCCCGTGAGATCATTGCATCGGCATAGTTAAAAAAAAGGCATGGCCTCTCAGTCCAATCTTACTTATTTCCTATATTGTCGTTTTATGTGGGGTATAAATCCGAAATTCAGAATTCGTGGAGAAATTGAGTTTATTGGCACAACCTTATTTGTTAGAAATTTGTACAACCTAAAAAAGCCGAAATGAAGATAAATATATTTGGATATCGAGCATAAGCCTTAATTTTATTGTACTTTTCTACACAATTCAGATTGCAGTAAATGTTCAAGTCTTGAGGCGAAATTCAGTATGTTCACTTTGGCCTGCTCTGACAATAAGCAAATCGTCCAGTGCTTCCGCCAGCGCTAGCCATTATTCCTGTCATACAATTCACAAGCGTTTCGTGTAGCTCATTACAAAAACACACTTGTCCACTGGTGTACACACATTCTGCCCGGTGAAATCCTGATTAAGAAAGGAAGATATTCCGTCAAAGGCCTAAATTTTAACCAAATCACATCACCATACTGCTTTTTGTGTATAATTAACTCATATTATTTATATTAGACAGCAAAAATAAACTCCTTATCACGTGAAATGATACTTTTCCAAGTTACCGATGGTGCTTCGTCTGTCGCAGTCGAGATACAAGCGATTTAAGTTGGTGATGTTTTGAAACGGTGATCTGAACATTGTATTAGCCTCAAAATTCATATTTTTTTACATTGTCTGAAAGCTGGAATCTTGAATGTCACGTTTATGTATGATTTTTATTGAAAACAAATAATATTAATGAGTTATCAACTAATTAACCTTAACGTCACTTCGTAAAAACTCTAAAATCAGAATACGCGCTGTTCGAGTTTTCACGAAGTGACGCTAACCATGTGTATTAGCTAATGGGTTAGCGCTACTTCGTGATGACGCCAGAAGTGAGTCGCGCGTATCACGTGACATTTGTGTTTTTTCGTGAAAACGCAAAACCCGTTTTTGACGCGTAGTGTGCAGGCAGTTTACATGCAAAAGAATGGTATAGTACACTTCGTGAAAACGCATTTTCCGGTTTTGACCCATTAAGTTGCAAACGTTCATTAATGTTAAATAATGTTTTGACAAAACTAATTAACTATGTGTTTATAGTAACTTCTTGAGGTGATAGATTATGTGTAATTAATCACAAATCAGGAAAAAAATCGAAATCGTAAAATATTGATTTTTTTTTATGTTAGTGTCACTTCGTGGTGACGGTGACGAATATGGTCACAAATCCTATGCATTACCTGTTACAATGTAAATCAAAATTTAGGTTTTGTGCCCTTACATATATAGACACTGTATACTCAGTGTGTTACCTCCCGAGTAAAAGTTTGAGAAAAAAAATAACTCGGGTGGGACTCGAACTCACCATTTCCTGCTTTCTGGTGCAGACGTCTTACCGCAATGCGGTACTATGTACATCAAATTAGAACCAATCTATACCGATCCTGAAGCTCGGTGGTCGAGTGGTAAGACGTCTGCATTGGAAAGCAAGAGGTCGTGGGTTCGAGTCTCACCCGAGTATTTTCCCAACTTTAACCTCGGGAGGTAACACACTGAGAATACAGTGTTCATGCGTCGGTGAAGGGCAAACAAACCTAATATTGATTTACATCAACCCGGCGCAAATTCCATCGTATGAATATTACGATGTAGGTAAATTTGAGGAAAGTCACCAGACGAAGTCTGAACTGAAGGGTGCCCTCCATAGTTCAGGTACAAACAACTCAAATTTTATTTTCAAAAAGAGCTTTAAAAACACCTTACCACTCCATAAAAAATAGAGTTTTCACATGTTCTTGTTCTACATTCGAACCCTGATAAGAAGAGCACTGTTAATACTACATCCTGCTTATAACAAGTAAAATTTTTGGTCCCAAGTCTTTGTTTTTCTTTGTTTTCCAATACTGTTATTACAAGGTACCTGTTATAACAAGGTAATTTGTAAAGTCCCAAGGACCTTGTTATCAAGGTGTTCGACTGTATTGTTCTAGTTCACATATTCTGTGTATTTATTTAAAGTTGGTTGACAATTAAATGGTTTCTATTGCAATTTCTTCCAAATCAAATCGTAAATTGACCGGACTCTCCGAGGCTTCGCCTTCCAGCAAAACTCGTTGAGATATTTTGGTAAAGAAGTTGTTGAGCCTCTTCAAGAGAGGCCTCAAACTCCAGAGTGTTGTGATTTAAGTAGGAGCCTTTGGTGGGGTACTCGATCAAAAGCCTTGGAGAAGTCAAAGGTAATGGAGTTTGTTTACTTTCTGTCATCCCGGGCTTTTGCAAAATCATTGGCTACGATGATAAGCTGTAATTCACAAGAGCGGCCATGGCGGAAGCCATGTTGACTTTCGATTAAGACCTCACGAGTATCATAATGGCCCATCGTATGGCTGAAGATGATATACTCAAGGATTTTACATGCATTGTTGTGAGCGATACTGGTCGGTAATTGGTACACTGCAACCACCTTTCTGATATATGGGCGCTACGTATGCAATCATCCAGTCATGGTGCTATATAAAAGTTGCCTTGTGTTATCTAGGAGATGTAGACAGCTGCCCAATGGAAAATTGGAGGCAAGGAGTGAATATGTTGCCCACAAAAATGAGAAAAGGAGAGAAAGCTGCACGAACACGTTTGTCCAGCTTCACATGCACCAAACAGACTGTCCTCACTAGCCGACACCTCGTGTAAGTTACAAGTGACAATGAGTGAGTCAGTCAGTCAGACAGTCAGGTTCAAAGATGACTTTTGTCTGGGACCAGCAAAAATAAAACTCAACTTTGTTACAGTCACTCACTGGACTGTACATTTTTTTAATCAAATGAAGCCGTTAGGAAAAAACTAACTTTACTCACGGGGGAATATTGAAGAACGGAGAGGGCCCAATTAAGATGAAACCTATTGCAGAAGCAAACACTCCCATAACCATTAGGATTCTTGAGATCCCCTGTATACGTAAAGGTAGACAATGAAAGAAAGTTGTTATTCTTTTTCTGTTTTTTGAAAATTACTAGAACGTTCAAAACGTAACCCGTTAAGGTTTCAGCTGAAAGATATTACACTTTAAGATAACAGAAAACAGTGAGAACCCATTCACAACCTTTTGTCCACGAAACACGATTTCGTCCATGGCACTCTTGGCTTAAAAAAATACCCCCAAAAAATCCAGTCACTTGACTGATAGTTGGACATTATAAAGCAAGACGGAAACGTTTCCAGAAATGTTTAGTGCCAGTACAATCGTTTATTTTGGTAATTGTTTGATAATTATTCGGTAGGTTACTTTTTGGGAAAGTGCAATTCATCATAATGCCTCTAAGTTGATTTTTTTACAGATGAATAAATATTGAAAACAGAACGATGACAAAGATATTTATGATTTGTCACCGACGTAAATGTATGTAAATCACCTTTTTATCGACAATGTAGCCCCAGAGGGTAGCAGTCACAGCGTACGCAGCGCCCCAACCTGCAAACACCAGACTGATGCCAGTGACACTATAACCAAGCTACGGAGAACAATAATACCAAAAAGTAAACTGGACACAGCGTTATAGCAAAGCACAGGTATCTTGTTCGCGTTCAAAATATGATGCTTTTAGAGCATCCCATGTTCGGGCCGTTAGGCACATTGAGCTCCCAATGCTTGCAATAAAGCCCCGCCCCATAAACCAATCACTAAACCAACGCAACAAGTACGAGAAAAAGACGTTTAAAATGATCATCATTTTGTAAGTTGATGAAGGCTAGGGGCTACACATGTACCCTGTTCTAATTCTGAAGCATATAGCACTTAAAAACTGAATGCATTGGGTTTTTTAGCAACGCGCACCATCATTTTAGAACAGAAAATAAATACGAGGAATAAATGGACGAATTTGCTAATTGGTCTCTTTTTTTTCGTTTTCACGAACAGCCACTTCTCTTAATTGATTAATTCTGCAAAAGTAATCACCTGTTTTTCTTAAAGTTTGCTTTATTTCAGAAGATTATGATCTCTTCTTTCCTCTGATACCTAAATCTTGCATATTTTATGCATCTTTAGGTTTCAAATTGTCAAATGAAAAAAGGACCAACTTTAAATGCAATTCTCTGGAATGTTTGTTCAGACATTGAAATACTAGATTCGCCTCTTCTTGAAAACTGTCACGATTTGATAGCGCGTGGGGCAAAAGTTGCGTTACGCGCACCTTCACTTTTGTTGGTTTGTATGCAAAAGTGTATTTGTATGTCCAGAAAAGTATTTTTTTAACAGTATTAAGTTATTTCTCCAACAAAATTCAAAATGGGTTATCAAGCTGGATATTTCTTTCGACGTTTTGTCCATTTTTCCCTCGTATTTTATTTTCCGTTTCAAACTGCTGGTGCGCGTTGCTAATAAAAAAAAACCCCTTGCATCCAGTTGTTTTAAAGAAGCACTGCGTCCTGAAATCCCCGAAAATGTTATGTTTTGGACTGTTTACTTAACCTATTTCAAACATCTGGTTGAAAGGAAACCATACTAATAATAATTATTTTATAATAATATTGACTTCTAAATACAGCGCTTATGTCCGTCACAAAATGATGTACTCTACCAACAATATGGCTCTATGGCTGTGCACGATCTCTTCAGCGGTTATCCTAAAACACCAACCTCGTCCCCAGTGCTTACTTTTTTTCCAACCGCATTTTCAATAGTAAGCCCTGGATAGGAAACTATCTTCCTGTATCCTGATTCGATACCGCAATTGGATAGTAATGGATTGTTATCGTGTACTTGGTTTTTTTTTATTCACAACGTGCAGTACGTGTTTGCGCGATCATTTCCTTTCCAATATTGTTTATATTAATAAGAGATGTAATACTCTATTTTGTCTCGATAGGATCGTAACAGTTTAAATGAAAAACAAATGTGTTTTCGTAACTCACGCCATGCTCTTGCTGCGACAAATTGACTCTGTTTTTACCCCAGACACCGCATACAAAAACAAACGCTAATGTAACGCACATGCAGGCACCAAACTATTCCTCATTTGCATACGTGTTCAAAAATCTTGCACATGCAAATGATCCAATACCAGGGTGAGAGAGCAGGTAGTGATGGGCGCGTACTGCTCGACACCCTGGGGACGAGGTTGCCTATCACACATGCTTCTTGTACGGAACGGCGCGTGCATCTTAATAGTGCAATATGCGAAGTGCAGTATGGACCGTGGCCGTAACACGGTTATTATGTAGCACGGCTTGTTGCCATGGATCGACCAATCAGGATCGAGGAATCAAGTTTACTTGATCATGAAAGGTAGAGTACATCATTTGTCATTTTGTGCCTTTTTTTTTTCGTTTGAAGCAACTAAAGTGCTCAAACTCTAAAGAAGGGTGCTTAACAACTAACCCAATGAAGTCAGCTCAGTGAATGCTGTAAATTCCGAGAAAACGATTCAACGATCTCGAAAAAACTTGCCGAGTCATGTTTTGAATTGCGCGCGAATCAGCGTCCGGGGCAAGCCGCGTTCTCAGTCAGTCGATTGCAGCTATAGGCGATGTCAAGCTCTGAACTGACAAAATAATAGCAATCGCGCGCGTGTGCATCGTGTCAACACTTGTACGCACTCATTCACAGCTTTGCCGAATTAAAAACGAACTACTAACGGACATTTCCAAAAATGCGTCTTTAGACGCGTCGTTGGAAATGACAAGTACCAGTGCATCTTTAAACCAAAATTTGTTTTCAACAATAATTTTGTCAGTAACTTTTTGGATCGCTGCAAATGATGTACTCTGCCTTTAAGCATGCTCCCCGCGTGTTTCTTGGTGAATCATAAGACGTCATTATTTGGTTCTGCGATCAGTGTCACCATGGCGACATACCTGCTTAAGATGAAGTGCCAGCACTGGGTCCAATGCAGAGTACGCAAGAAAGCTGAAAGAACTGGCAAGTAAGACTACCCAGACAGCTGGCAGCTTCATAACTTCAATCATAGGCCCGGTTTCCTCATGTTGGCCCCCTTTCCAAAGAAATTATTTTGTCTTGATAACATAATTGGAGCAGCAATAACACTCTGTTTAAAAAAAACGATAACAGAGCCTGAAAGTAAGCCATTTTCTCTTTAAGCTTCTGGACCCTCCGCGACCCTTCTATGGACAGTGTACATGGGGTTGCCATTTCTCTTGCTATAATTTTTGACAATGATTTCCAACCGTAATCACCGCAAGAAACGTTCATGCTGAAATTTTATCGTGGCATTCCACAACAAAATGATGACAAATGAGTTGGAGATGAGTAAAAACGAATTTTACTTACAACCTTTTATATCTGGATTTCCGTACCTATAGGACTCCTTTTTCGCTTACGTTTGTTGTCACATCCCTTTACTTGGAACGAAAATGATTGCGACGCGAAGATTTACCTACCTATACCGATGGATATAGATTACGTTGGGTTTGCTTAAGTTCTTATCAACGGTCGCCCTGAATCCTTCAAAATCCTCTTTGCCAAAGTGGAGGAATTTGGAGGATTGAAGTTACACGGCAAAAGTGCGTTACTGATTTCGTAGGATGCACTTTGTCAGGGTCTTGGGCCGTACCTTGCGTTGTTTTTGCTCAGCCATGCATAAATATAGGCTTGGATTATGCTTGAAATCCTCTGTACTGCTCCAAGATGTCACTGGCCAAGCCTCAACATATTGACAGCCAATGCCGCAGGATTTTGCAGGATTCAGGCTGTGGTCACCCCTCCACGGACCATATTCAAGAAACAATGGAGGAATTTGCAGGATTGAGGATATATGCTATTTTTTTATGAGGCCAATTGGAGGATTTTGCAGGATTGAGGCTACATCCTAGCAAAAAAGGCCTAGGGAGTTAGGGTTAATTATTTCTTCAAGGGTAAATTAGTTCTTCAAGTTTATTAAAAAAAGATGTGTGTCCCAAAAGACATCTTTGTCTCCTATTTAATTTTCAGTTTTTACCCAATGACCGCCACAAAATTATTTCATAAATGTTTATCTTTGTACGAGTGCTCCGAGTTCCAATAGTCCTCATGTATGTTGGATTTTCGAAAGTGAGGGATCAATTTTTGGTACCATATTTCTCTTTTACGTCAAGTGATTTTTTCGGTTTCCACACATTGAGATGCTAGTAACAATATAAAGGCCATTTCCGAGGGTGATCTTCTTAAAAATCAATGTTCCAAAAGTAATTTTTAAAACTCCGACTTTTACACGCTAATTTTCCTATTCGAGGGTCCGGAAGCGTGCCACCAGGGGTCAACTTTCAGGCTCTATTATGCTTTCGTGTGCAACCTGACTCAACAGTAATTTCTGCTATATGTGTCGATGTGGTGAGTCATTAATATGGAGACACCACAACGTATGTTGATTTGGAAGAAAAACCGTTTTCGAGGTAAACGCAAAACAAATTTTTTCATATTTTAAAACTGCATAAAAGACCACTTTGAAACAATTTTGTGCAGCAAGGAAACCATCACACGATTGTATGAGAGCTGACTTTTTACGTGAACCCAGTAATTATACCTAATACAGCAATTATTGTAAAACTTATTATGCGGCTCTTCGTAAAAACGAAAATTTAGGTTTCCGACATTTTGGCCATTTCTGTTTAACGTGAATTTCCATAGGCGCGCGTGAGTACGCGCGCGCAGCTGAAAATGTAACAAAGATATTATGTGGCTCTTCGTGAAAACGGAAATCTCAGTTGACCTACTTTTACGTATTTCCGTGCAATAGGTTTTGTACACGTTCAAGGGGCCAAAATGTATGTGGCTCTTCGACAAAACGCAAAATGCATTTATCGAGATTTCTGCCCCTTGCAACATTAATGTTACTTGGAAATCAATGATGTTTTGCTTACATTATGGTTAAGAACATTGTTTTAAAGCAAAATATTGAAAAAAAATCGAAATCGAAAAAATGGTAATTTTGACATGTGTGGCTCTTCGTGAAAACGGTGACGGTCAGGAGGCTTCGGGCGTGTTTAAGTTGGTGTTGTCGTGGGTGTTGTCATCGGCATGGTCGTGATCGTGGGCGTAGTCATTGGCATAGTCGTGGGTGTGGTCATGGGCGTGGTTCTGAGCGTAGCGACAGGCTAATAAACTGCTCACAACAACCCCTGATAGTCACTTGATCCGTATGAGGACATTGTGTTTGTGAAGAAAAATAATTCTTTTTGAATCAATCTTACCAATCTTCGGCATCAAAAAGTAATTGACAGCAACACAAGCCCAGACAAACCCGCCATTTACAAGGAACGGGAGCTTAAAACCGCCGGCCTGTTCAGAAACAAATGCGTCTGTTATCAGTGGTGAATATTAAAGAGGAATGAATTCACAGATGGGTTCACGAATGGCCACTTCCATTGATGCACAACATGGAGTTTGATAAGTCATCAGGGCGTGGGCATGGATGTGGTCATGAGGGGGCAGAAGGGGCGGGGCTGGAATGGCTTGTTGGTGAGGTGGGTGGGGGATGGGAAGGGATTAATCAAAATCTCTCGAGATGTATACAATTGTACTTGTTTTGTTTTTTAGAGTTGAGTTACAATACTTGATTGATAATACTTACATGATATAAGAGTCCGCCTATTACTGGTGCAATTGTAAACGACGTCCCGGTGACAGTTTCCATCAAGCTCTAAGTTGTACAAAACATTGAGAGAAGACAGAAAGGAAAACGCATGCTTACTGTAAGGTAAGTGGTCATGATTACTGCACCAAAAACAACAGACAATTGGGAGTTTTAAAACCTCGGCTTCGTCTTCAGCTGTCACACTGTGGAACTTAAGGCCCCTTGTCTTTGGAGGACTGCGGCTCATAATCGGTCCACAATTTGCAACAAATCAAACCCTACGAGATGAAGCAAAGCCGTTGGTATGTTTCCATTTGGCTAGATAGACAAACTTCTTTCAGTAAGTTAGCCGAAGCCGGACCCCCGTTTTTCGAAAACACCGTCTACATGTGTTATTATTCCTTAGTAAAATATGTACTTACTGTTGCAACGCCGACCTTATCCTTGAAGGTGTAGGTGAGAATGGCACCTATAGCAGTATTGCAGGCGGACGATCCAAGGCCTTCTAGGGTCCGTATGGCAAAAGTGAAACCTGTAAAGGTTGCCAATGTAGGCATATCCACAACGAAGCTGCAAGAAGAAGAAAATGACTTGGCTTTTAATATATTCACTGACAGGCTTTAATATATTCACCTATTTTTTTTGCATGAGTGTGGCCTACACGTGTTATGATAAGCCGGATTTAACCCTTTCATTTGCATATGGGGTAATCGTGCACATTTCAAACGTTTAGGCCACAATTAGACTTAAAGAGGTTGTGGAATGCTGAAAATCGTTTTGTTTTTTTATATTTTATATTGTAGAGTAGACCCATATAATTATATCATAATGACAAACTCCCATCTTTTCTAATGTGCGTTTATATGTTTATAAAACTGAAATTCATCGAGTATTTTGTTGGTCGGCGAGCGCATAATTGAAATCAACAGTCGTCGGGCTCTTCGTAAAATCAGAAAAAGCGTGACGTAATAAACAGGACTCGTTTATACAACGACTGTTTACTGCTGCCCAACCCGCCCCGTCCGCACGTGTGACTCGCAGTCAAGCAGTGAAAAAACATTTTGTAAAAGACTCGCGGAGATTGATATTCCTTCCCATTGCTTAATTTTTGGATGAGTATTGAACAAGGACACGGTGACCTCTGAGCTGTTCTTCCGTATAAATTTGAGCCCCAACTGCCCGAAAAAGAGACCAGCGAAAACACGGATACTGCAACTGGCCAGCTGAAAACGCCAGGCAACGCGGCTCTGATGAGTGGTAGGTCTGCGACGTTTGCGTGAAAAAAAACAGCTGCGTTTTATCCAAGGACTCAGTCAAAGTATTATGTTCATGATAACATTTTTAGATGAGCATCAACAGTCCTATCGCAACTTTCTTCGTGATTTACAGACAATCTCGTTATTCTTGTGAATATTCAGTCCAAAGAGACGACAAATCGTCAGGTTGTTTTCGAATTATACGCGTACGGCACGCATAACGCATCACGGCAGTGGATGTGGTCGACCGTGTCCAGAACTAATGTTGTACGGTTAGCAGCGTCGCGGGCCCCGGTCAAGTTCCTTGCGTTGCCTGGTGCTTTTTATGTATACGTTCGCCACAAAAAAAATAGTCCTCTTCTCTTTTCTTTCCTTGTGCATTTTAACCCTTGTTTTAACATCCTGAAACGATAATTACGAATTTACTTGAATTTTGAAATTGTTAACTTTATTGTTTACCAAAAAAAAAGCCGTAAAACAACGCCAGAAGACCATGGGACTACCGCTTCACCTCGACCTGTAAACGTGGCTACAAAAAAAAGTACAATTCATAAATCATAGTCATGCTCCGTTCATAAAACAAAAATCTCTGGACTTAACGACATTTTCGGGATACCGGTTGAAAACAAAATTCACTGGTCCCGAAATTTAACGAGCACTTTCATTATTTTCAGTACCTAATTAAGACTTTATTCAAGAAATTCCAGTGGCAGAGAATTTGTCATTCGATCAAAAGAAGTTCTAGGGAAAATGGAGGCCTGTCACATTAATCAGCACTAACGTAAGGAAAACTACGCGGTCCTTTTTCTACGCATTTACCTTCAATTTGTGTGTGACAACGCGTGCGCGTATGCTGCGCAGATAATGGAGGGTCGAGGATACATTTGAACGGGTCTACGGTTCTTCAAGATTGGCAATGGACAAAATTTGGTCCAAAACAGTCTTCCCTATAAATCATTGACAAATCATATCTCTATTATTTCTTGTCCAATTTCAACAAATCTCTTGAGAAAAGAAGACTCTTGCCGTACAAAATGTACAGTGCATGATCAGCGCTCTATCCGTTAATTTGGCTGAAATCCGATCTCGTGTTTCGCACGGTACTCTTCGGACAAACTGCATGGCTACGGAGGATTCTTATTCCTCCATGCTGACACCCCGCCGGAAGGGAAAGCTGGAAATTTATTGCAAACTAAATGTGGTGTGATTACAGCCAGCGACTGACACAAGTATAGGCATAGGTTTGCCTTGGCCTAGTGCGTTTGCTACCCGTACACGTATCAACAACGAATTATTTTGAAATTCCAACACCGTTTACCGGTGTCAAAATCTACGGTCCCAGCGGCCGGGCCAGCGGCACAAGTACACCCGTGAATTTCCAGCCAGCTTTACATAGCGCGTGTCACGGTGATGCGATGTGCATGTGATCGTGAACGATCGAACGATGTTGATGTAACGCAGACATTTCTTACTATGGTTGGCCGTTAGGGCAAACACAAAAGAATGATCCCCGATCTATAAATGAAATGATGTGTAACTATCAAAACACTGAATAATCAATAGAAAGTACCAAAAAGTCAATGGAGATATCTTCCTATTAAATTCTGAACTTGCCCATTAGAATTTCGGGGGTAAAAGATGTTGCCAACTACGGTTGAATTTATGGAGCATGTGGCTGCCCATACAAAATGTCCCTCAGTGTAATTGTAAACAGAGTCATGTCGTTGCGCGGAGTGATTTGCAAAAAGTTTCGCTGGAACTACGCTGCATCGGGAGTCCTGTTTATTACGTCACGATTTACTATGTTTTGTTTGCTGCCCCCAGCGACGACTTTTACACAAATTGCAAGTTCGGGTCGAAACAGCTCTCAAAAGTACCTTTTGTATTCATTTCATGACAGAAACAATAGTCGTTTTTATTTCATCACACCCTAGGCTACATATACCCGAAAAATGACGGAAATGTCTTCGAGCATTCCACAACCTCTTTAAGAAGGTTTAATTCACAAGTGATAGTCAGTGAGTGAGTCTGTTTTTGGACAGTCAGGTTGGAAGGGGAGTGTAAGCCGGCCCCCCTGGGACCAGCAAAATATACATGTATCTCTTCAGTTAATCGTTCTCAAAACCCAATAAAGAGTTTAAAGGGGAAAATGATACATTACATATATCAGTACGGGGTCTACCCGACGTTCCCAAATACCGATGTTTTCCAAAATCCTTAGGATGAGGTTTAGAGTTAGGGTTGGGGAACATAGGTATTGGGGAACATAGGTATTGGGGAACACAGGTATTGGGGAACATAGGTATGCACCCATCAGTACAACGCCAAAGACAAAACGAACACTATGGGGTCCATTAAAACATATTCGTAATAGTGGTCGTTATTGTTATTGTGCGTTATCATAACATTTAATGTTTAGAGAGTCAAAGGGGATGTTCGTTATATATTAGCCAAATGTTCGTTATTGTGGTGTTATAGCGCTGTATTCCTTATTCCTTTCAAGGAGGGGTTTTCTTTTAAAGGGGGCCTGATTTGCAATAGAATGAATAAACATCTTGTAAAGCAACAGAAAGCAGCAATGCCAGCAGCTAAAACGTACCCCAGCAGGACGCTGCAACCGCCGGTGACAAAAGCTCCCGCAAGAAATACGAAACGGGCGCCAAAACGTGGCAGCTGGGGAAGAAAACAAATGAATGTAAACAATAACCTTAATTTACCTTTATGTCACATTATCCACTAAACCAGCGACCACTGCATAGGTGGGCAACGGCACGTGAACCTCTGTGCCACACTTCATGAACTACGGCATGAACTTGATCGCGGTTGTGGTTGGATGTACGTGAATCGGCTTATTAGATGCGGGATCAACAAATCATCAAGGCGGTCGGTCCGTCGATCGGTCAGTCGGTCCGTTAGTCAGTCAGTTACAAACGTTGACATGCCGACCTAGCAAGTCTCACGCATATGGCGTGTCACACGCCTCAGAGTCGATGACACGTCACAAATTACTGAAGCAGATTTCCGAGAATCTCTACAAGACGGTTTATCCTACAATCTGTGAACCCCCCCCCCCCCTCGGTTCTACGGCTTACCTAAGATACATTCCCCCTTCGCCCCATCGTATCTAGGATAGGTTAAATGTGCCTCTGCTTAGCAGCTACAGTTCCAGTGTCATATCCACCTCGGTTGGGAACACGGAGCATCACAACCGAAACTCCCAGGATTTCGCGCGGCCAAGTTAGGGACATGAAGGTGCTTCGTACAGATTGTTAAGTGTCATGTGATGTGAGTGCCATGCCCAGTGGATAAAGCCATCCCAATCATCAAAGAATGACTCGAGAACGCTCCCACCCTACATGACCGCACTGGATTTGTCCCCGAAACCCATTGTCCAACTCTTGAAATTATTTCATGTCAGCAGAGAGGGCCGACATTGGATCCTCTGTGTCACTAGCTGGGCCCAATTTTACGGCGCTGCTAAGCACAAAAAAATTGCTTAGCACTAAAAAGTCTGGCTTATAGCAGCAGGTTATCAGTCAAAACTCCATGTGATTTTCATGCTAAGCAAACAACAGCTAAATATTAATCACGAGCAATATGCATCACGTATAGTTTTGGCTGGTAACCTGCTTTTATAAGCCAGACTTTTTTGTGCTAAGCAATTTGTTGTGCATAGCAGCGCCTTGAAATTGGCCCCAGTCGTAGCTAGCCAACAAGTCAGCAATATCCGCGACCATACGCGGGCAACGTACAGGACACACCATTCACTGGACTGGTACACGCATCAGTGACCAGCACCCGATTTCACCAAACTCTTCGTAACTTACGATGCATCGCAGCGCTGCGACGCGTCGTATCTCTACGATGCGTCGCAGCTGCGACGCGTCCTACGATCCATTTCACTAAACACGTCGTAAGTGCGACGCGTCGTAGGTGTATTTATAGCACAACTCGGTGACTGTTTTATGTCTTTAGTCAGCGTACAGTAAATAGTCGTCTGATATTCAACAAAAAGTCGTCGGATCTCAGCTCGAAATTTGTTAAAACGTAAAACAAAATGGCGGCCGTGCGATGCAATTGTGAAGGAAAACAAGCTCTCATTGGACTGTATAGCTACTTTGAAATTTCAACTCTAATATTCCGGTCTAATTCATAATTCAATGAATTTTCTATTTACAACTTTACACACATTGCCTCGGTATTATAATCTCGTTAATGTAATGTTTGTGGCATAAAACTGGCTTAGAAATGACTCTTCTTATTTTGCGATGACCACTAGACACGTCGTAACTTGCGACGTGTTTTAAGCCGTTGTCAAGGAACTTGCGACGCGTTCAAACACATCGCAACTTTCGTGAAATGGAAGATACTTACGCGTCGCGAGTTGCGACGTGTTACACGTCGTAACTCGAGTTGCGACGCGTCGCAGCGCTTCGTGAAATCGGGTGCAGCACCCGATTTCACTAAACTCTTCTTAACTTAAGACGCGTCGCACGGTTTACGATGCGTCGCAGCCCTGCGACACGTCGTAGCTGCGACGTGTTCTGCAAACAATTTCAGTAAACGCGTCGTAAGGGCGATGCATTGCATTTTCAGTTTTACTGACATACATTTCTTGGACGAGCCTAATTCTTTTCTCACCTACAACAATTTATGTTTGAAAATGTTTTAGTCACAAAATAGTCGTTGGAATCAACACGTCTGCAAAACGCGGGAAAAACTTGAAATGATTGGAAGAAATTTGCTGTCCAAAAGTGTCATCTTTTGATGTCGTCTGCTCTCATCTGCCTGCAATTTTATGGTAAGTTTAGTGCATTGATTGTTATGGGAGTTTATTTGGATCGGCGTAGTGATTCTGTCGCGCGAAAACTGAACGAAATCAGCAGGAACTGAGAGTCGGAGTCATTAGACATTACGAACGGAGCACATTGGAAAATGTGGAAAAGAAACGGTCTGAAAACTGGACCCAAGAAGTCGCTGTTCTGTGCCAGTATGTCATGTAATGTGCACGAGCACTTGAATGAGCTCTTCGGAAGCAGTTGCAAAGGCAAAAAATCAAAGGCAAACGTGGAAAAAGTATAAAAGATCCACTATTGGAAAGAGGCAGGGAAAGTACTTGTTGAGAATGGAGGCATTCCCAGCGATTACCAGAAAATACGAAAGAAATGGCAGGATATGACCAGGAAAGCAAGGACGTATCACCGAGACATGAACAGAACAGGTAAATATTATACTTTATAAAATAGCCTATTAATTAGGCCTAACATTAGGCCTATTATTATTAAATATTTTATTATTTTTATGTTATTTCTAGTTAGGCTATAAGACCTAGAACTAGTTCAACATGAAAAGTCAGATAAGCCTATAGGAAAGAATGTGCAAATCTGACACTGCTTTTTTTCATCAATCATCTCAACGACAACTGAAAAAAGGGTCCTACTAAATTCGTCAACAAGCATCAACAGTAATTGTCAACAAGCATCAACAAATTTGTACAGCCTATGCTTTCGAAAATTAAAAGTAGCTTTATAATACATGGTAGAAAAAGCAATAAAGAACATCTTCTGCAAATCTATTCAAGTTGAAATTATTTAAAAACTTTTTTTTGAACGCGAAATGTACGACAAGTTTGTCGAGTGTTGCCCCCCATCTTGTTTGGATGGCGCTGTACACTTCACGCATGCGTAGTATGGCTCTGTACACTTCAGGCATGTGTAGTATGGCTAGCTTCACGTAAACAAAATGGCAGCCAACACAAACTCGACAGGTCGTCGTACGTTTCGCGTTGAAAAAAAAACAACTTTTGAAATAGTTTTTACTTTAAAATATATGCTGCAGGTGTTCTTTGTTGCCATTTGTACTATAAAGCTGTTTTAGATTTTCCAAAACTTCTAAGTTCTACAAAATTTGTTGACGCTGGATTGACGACCGTTGAAGTTTGTTGATGCCAGTTGACACTTATTGACGCTTGCTGACGCATTTTAGTAGAACCGACTGAAAATGCTTATGACAGGCATGAGATTCTTTCTGTTGAAACAGGGATTAATTGTTTTTGTTTTGCTTTGTTTTTTTTTGTTTTTTGTTTTTTTGGCCAAAATTTTTGCACTTTAATTTATTTTTAGCCAGTTATGGGTGTGTTGGGGTTTTTTTTGGCTTGATTGCACACATTTTTACCCTTTTGGAACAAATTTCATGTATTTTTTCATTGCAATTCATTCTCATGCCTGAAATGAGTATGAACCTAGACCACTTTCTAAAGTTGTTGTTGTTTTATACAGGAGGAGGTGAGAAGCCAGCCACAAACAAGACATTCGATCTTGTTTTAGAGGCATTGCTGCCCATTGCCAAGGATGGCATCCTTAATCAGGAGGAAGGAGAAACAGACCCACTCCCACCAGAAGTTGATTTCCTGATGGACATAGTCGCTGAAGATAAGAATGCTGACAGTATACTAGAAGCGCTACAATTTTTCAAAAGAATATACAAGACTAACAGTTCAGAGAACTTGTTTGTATTTCTTGAAAGAAATACTTCATATTTTTGATAATTTAATATTTTTGTAAATATAATTTGTTTCACAAAATAAATATTTGCTTTCAATCACTATAATAATAAATCATTAATACATGCAATACATATAATTGGACATTAATATGATCAATCTTAAATCTTAATAAATCTGTTTTTCTGTATATCTTTTGTTTTAAGCCGTCACAACTGCTGAGATTAGAATAGAAGAGGAGTTCGACAAATCGACATTGCAATCCTCCTGATTTGAAAATCACAGGTGTGTGGGAAAAGTCATATCCTGGTGTGTGCATTATAACTGAATTATCCCATTCGATGGCGTAGAGGGGTATCCTATACGATAGCAATGGCAAGCACTCGAGTTACAGTCGGGGGGGAGTCAGTCAGTCAGTCGGGGAGTCAGTCGGGGAGTCAGTCAGTCAGTCAGCGAGATGGACACAAAATGACATTAGGCAGGCCATCTTTGACCACCAGCGACAATGAAAGAAGGCAAGCAACCACGACAAAACCCAACAAAGAGCAGTGGTAAACGTTATATACAGGTATAATCAAATCTAAAAGTCTTACAACTTTGCCCCAGATCGGTGCACCTATACCAGACGCGATGAAGTAGCAGCTAAACACAAGTCCTACGACCGTCTGCGACATTCCTTTCGCTTCAGCCTGCGAAACGTGTGAAAAAAATAACAAATGACCATTTGTTTAAAGGTGAATAATGGCGCTGTATGTAATGACGTCATTTTCTGGGTAAATATCACAAGTGTAAAGACTACGCTTATATTTGTTTTCCATGGAAGCAATGTAGCAAATTGCCTTTTCTTGACATTCATGATTGTAAAAAGGCAAGTTACGAATTAAAGCAACAACTTGCATGTTCATGAATTACAATTGTGTTTTTTTTGTAAGCCACAAACTTTAGCTGGACAGCGCCCTCATCGGTCGTCGTTGTTATAAAAGGGGAAAGTGCGACACCAAGCGTGTGCCTCAAAGACGCCATTTGTTTTTATTGTCAACTTGCTTTTGTCCTGTAGTTTAATAGTCGGCCGCCACCGTTGTTTTGACGTTCGGTTTTTACCCACCTCTGTCGCAAAGAAAACTGAAATGATGGCATAGGAACTCCAAGTTGAGAAGGAAGTCAAACCTGCGCTGAGAAAGATGATCTTTTGGTGAAAAGTGAACTTCGACCTTGGAGCGGCAGCAGAATCACCATCACTTGCAGCAGCTGGGTTGCTTGGATTTGTGGGCGTGACATCGAGTGATGTCTCTTGCCATTGGTTGTTTTCCGTGACCTGATCGTTGCCGTTTGGGGCTATGGGCGGGGCATTTAGATTGGACTCTTCTGATGGGCTGCGGTCGGCCATGCTTTATTCACGAAACACCTCGTTCTGAGTTGTGCTGTGATATATTATTATTCAATTCGTAGATTCTTTGGGGGAAGTGAAAAGAAACAATAACTGTCCAAAAACAATTTGGTGCATGTATACGTTATAATATTTTGCATAGTTCTTAACATATCGGCCCCATTTATAATTGTAGGGTGTTCATGCCATACACAGATGAACTGTATTGTCTGGCAAACTGCATTCTCATATAAAGCCGGCTCGGTTCAAATATTAGATGCCAGAGTTTACTCAGACTGAAGCATATTGTAATACTTAAGAATAATTTCAAACAAATCAGCCTCTTACTCGATCCCTTTTGTGAAACTTTTTTTTTTTAAACAAAACTCCCCACAACTTCCAACATGTAAAACAACAACATAAACAAATCGTCGCATATCTGACGAACCGACGAATACGCGCGAATACGCGGAAACGCAATCTGAGAAAAACGCGTTTGAAGTTGAACACTTTTTACGTGTCCCTTTTCGATGCTACTTTCGCCTTTTGTACATTCTTAATTTATGCAAGGTAGTTATTTGATTGTTAAAATACATCTATTACTTTGTTTTTTGCTCGTAAGACTAAAGGTTTGTCTAATTTTTGCTGTGAAACTTGTTCGTCACTTCGCGAGATAGCAATAAACGTCATTGTGCTTATTCGCCACGTAAAAATGTCTTATTCGTCACTTTGTCAGATAACATTTTGACTGTGCGCGCGTTTTCGCATCACAAATCCATTGCATATTCGTCACTTCTTTACAACACTACGCGCATTTTCAAAGAAATGTGTATTTTTACAAACATTTCTATTTTTTTTTAAGGAAAAAATATGGTAACACTTAAACCCCACGTTCAAATCCAAGTACTTGCTATAATTTTTTAATAATATACAGTAGCCTAATAAAAAAGTTGTTATAAAGGAAAATATCTCGAATGGACGCAACAAAATAATAGGAACACAAAACTGTGAATGCGAACTAACGACGAACAACGTTAACACTATTTATTCATTCATTTTTTCATTCATGTAAGACAGCAATTCTTTTAAAAACAATCAGTTTTGATTCATAATCCCATAATTATTGTCTTCCAGGGTACAATAATCTTAGTAAAGGCTTGTTATCATTAGGCATTCTGCTTTAATTAGCCGCTTAAAGGGCTCCGTTTTCAAAAATACAAAACCTGTATCTCGAAATGCAGTATTTTGGGTATCCTATAAAACGTCGTCTTTGAAAGAAAGTGTACCGCACACGTTGAAATAGTTTACATTTTTATTTCATTATCCTAGTCATCACTCACCAGCTAGGGCACTCTTTATTTCAGTAAAGGCTCATTCCAATGAGGTTTTCTGCTTTAATTAGCCACTTAAAGAGGCTCCGTTTTCGAGAATATCTCAAAATGCAGTATTTTGGGTTTTCCTAAAAAACGCCGTCTTAGCAAGAAAATCTACAAATAAAACATATTTTTATGTCATCATCCTGAGTATCACCTTCCTGGGCACTCTTCATTTTCGTTATGGGCTTATTCCTATGAGGCCTTATGCTGAAATTAGCCACTTTAAAGGGGTTCCACTTTCGAGAATATCTCGAAATGCAGTATTTTGGGTCTCCCATAGAA